ACGTCACACACCACGATGTTCAGTTTCTCATAACAACGAAAACAGCACCTGAAGCGGAGTTTACTGTAGCTCTTTCCTCTGTTCTACATGACTTGGACATGTGTAAAACAACAACAAGTAGAAGTGCTGAAAGCCTTTCTTCTAAAGAAAGATGTTTGTGCCGTCGCCAGACGCCGTCTTTTACTACAACTAAAAACTACAGCGCCACGTGACACAGTGGTCATTTCTGCCTTTTTTCTGATTGGTTATTTTTGAGCTGGCTAGTCCCGCCCTTCATGTACCTGTGAGTTGCCAGACTCGTCCTCTGTGTAGAATTAAACAGAGAACTATAGTCTGGCAGGCCAGGCTAAGATGTACCAAAGACAGATTACTGAAGTGGCCGATATGAAGAAATCCTATCAATAACTAGAAAGAGCTGGTCTGAAGGAGAGCACAGAGGCGCTCATCATGGCTGCACAGAAACAGGCCCTGAACATCAGAGCAGCAGAGGCCAAGATCTACCACACCAGACAAGACCCAAGGTGTAGGCCCCTGAGACAATCCACCACATAACTGCAGGGTGTAAGATGTAGCAGGGAAAGCATACCTGGAACGCCACAGCCAAGTGGCTGGCATCGTGTACAGAAGCACCTGTGCAGAGTATGGACTGGAAGCCCCAAGGTCAAAGTGGGTAACACCTCCAAAGGTGGCTGAAAACGAGGGAGCCAAGCTCCTGTGGGACTTCCAGATCCAGACGAAGAAAAGGGTGATGGTAAACCAACGAGACATTGTGGTGGTGCACAAACAACAGAGGACAGCCGTTGTGGTTGATGTGGCAATACCAAGTGATGGCATCATCAAGAAAAAGGAACACTAGAAACTAGAGAAGTACCAGGGCCTCAAAGGGGAACCTGAGAAAGCCTAGAGAGTGAAGACATTGGTGGTGCCCGTGGTCAGGGCCATATTAAGACTTCGTTGTACCCTGGGCAACAATATTCAAAGGCCCCATCATCACGACCCAAGGATCACCATAATATGGTCACATACAGAATATTTTACTGTAATATGCAGTAAATATACTCAATACTTGAATGCCTGACATCACGTAACCCACTCAGGGTAACTTTTGACCAACCTTGTGTGGACTGACCAATGAGGAGAGGGTCTTAACTTGAGGCCCTCTCTTCATTGGTCAGTCTGCATGAGACTGACTCTCAACTGACGTTTAGAGTCGTAGGCAGCGAAGCGTCTCTGTGCAGCGCAAAAGCCCGGGTGGACAGTTTGTTTAATATAGGGTGATCACATTTCCATTTCCAAACAAGAGGACAGGGGAGCTGTGCCTATGATGTCACACTATGGCAACACCACACAAACCACGTTGGGACCCTTTTTTTTTTGTAAGAACTAAATTAATATCAGATTCTGCCAATAAAAGGGCTCTAAAACAATTCAGATTATTAAGGATGCTTGTTTCAGCTGTGAGATTAGACGATAGGATCAATGAAAAAATAAGTTTTCACAGACTCCATGGAAACTTTCTGAGAATCCACAAATAGTGGCTTTCAAATGGTTTTGTTACTTTTTGCAAGTTTAGAAAAGCAACAGATGAGACAGCATGTCTGATAATTTAGTTTTTCATCTGATAACATGTCAGCGATGTCTGAGGGGCTTTTATAAACACTGTATAACTAACACTACTGGAGAGGGTATGAATTACACAGAGGCTTCTGGGGGGCCTAATTGGGGGGGGGGGGGGGGGGGTAATTTTGCCTTGGCCCCCAAATTGCCTTGAAACGGCCCTGGGTTTGTGACTGAGTTTTGAAGGTGATCTGAATTGTATCAGATGTATAAATATGACATGTGTATAACTTATTGTTTTATACAGGTAAAAACGTGTAGTGGAGATAAATTTACCTACATTTTACTTTTCAACACTTTGTTTAGTTTTCTTGTTTTTATTTAACTATTTTCCTGTCCTGTCTGTCTCTCATCTTCCTGCATCTCATCTAAACTCTGCAGAAAAACTGCTGCCTGGATTCTTACTTTTTCACCTCATCAGTTACTTTTGAGCAGATCAAAGGGATCTCCTGACCACAAAGCGGAGTGCGCCTTTCGTTGCTGCGTCAGTGAGGTGAAATCACCGCAGCACCGCGCAGCACAGGTGATGAGCTCCGCAGTAGCAGAGCACTTCAGGCACAAATAAGACTGAAAGAGAACATGTGCGGACATGAACGATCGTGTGCTAATTATAGTTTTTTGAGAATGGACCGTGCGCTGGAAGCAGCAGCCTGGAGCGCTGTGCAACAACGCGCTGTGCCGCTCTCTGTGCTCTCTGCTCAAAAGAGTCCATAAATGAAGTAATATAGGTAGAAAACCCCTGGATGTGTAGGATATCCAGCTCCCCCATAATTCGATCTCTGCTCCTGGATGAAAAGCTGGACATTTTCTAGTACCCCCAGTCCGGACGCCCCGGACAGAGAGTGAAAAGTGGACATGTCCGGGGAAAACAGGATGTACGGTCACCCTAGTTTAATATAAAGCGGGAGATTACAGATAGGCCTACAGTATTTTGCTCGTGCCCTTGCTGCCCTGGGCCCTTTAGAGAACGTGGGCCCTGGGCCATTGCCCAATTGCCCATATGGTTAATCCGGCCTTGCCCGTGGTCATCGGGGCAGTAACCCCTAAACTGGAGAAGTGGCTAAAGCAGATCCTGGGAAAAACATCAGACATCAGTCCAGAAAAGTGCAGCTCTAGGAACTGCTAAGATACTGCCCAGAACCTTCATGAACCCTGGCCTCTGCTAGAGGACCTGAGCTTGGAAGGAGGGGACCACCCATGGAGGGTGTGATGGGGATAATAAATATGACATATGAAGGTTCTCTCCTCACCTTATGCAACTGAGCTATGTGACATGTCTGCTAACAAGAAAACTCTCTCACCAACCGATATCCCTTAATATTTAGCATGAATGGAAGATATGGCTTGACCTTTTCCTTTACAGCAGTTGTCATTTTCTTGTATTAGGCTGCTTTCGTGTAGTCCCACTGAATTTAATAGAATATTCCATCGGGTAACAGACTCTCCATAAACTGTAATGCAGTTTAACGACGCGAAGAAAGAGGCTAATTACAACCAGTGTTTCTCAATATGTGTCTCTGCTAATTGGCCAATCAATCAAGGCGTCTTTGTTGCTACATGCAGGCGAGCCACACCTGAACATTCATATGGCAAAGATCAAACTCGACTCAGAGACAACAACACAAACACGGAATCAAACAAAAGTTTTAAAGAGTGTAGTTTAAGCTGTGATCCATTCAGAAGGAATTCTAAATCTGGCGAAACTATTCAAGTGAAACCACGCTTAAATGTACATGTTGTCACCAAAGCTACGATCAGGTGAGTGCAAATCCTCCTCACTTCTTGACCTTTTAAGTAACTTAATAACCTCGATGAGGTGGACTGCTGTTAATGCTGACAACCACAAACATGTGACTGTTTGTCTTTGTCTGTTAGCCAAATTGATGGAGAGGAGCGACAAAAGCCTATTTGAGTTGGAGTTAACTGATCCGACCTACGTGGAGGTCCCTCGGGGGACCCCACCCCCGTCATTCCAGGGAGGCGTCATACCTAATCTGATCTACAAATGTCTCCAGCTGCTATTACCTGAGATGGCATGGGGCACTTTGGCCTTCAGAGCTTTCTGATTTATTTTAGGCAAAAGTCGGGAGTTTTGTTTTTACAAAGGGTGATAAAGGACCTGACGTGCTGTGGTTTACCTCATGTGTGACAGTGTTTAAAGACAGAAGTCAACAAGAAACATCCAAAAATACCCATAATCATTTCATATGATACGCTTCTGCTTTACCCTGAAATGAGAAAAAGAAAAAGTATTCCAGCTGAATCAACAGTGACTCTGCAATGGCTGCAGTTCAGGAACTCTCAAAGAAAAAGCTGTTTTTAATCATCAAGAAGGACAAAATTTGTCTTAATGATTTTTTCATTAATATAAGATGAAAATTGTGGCATGTAAAAAAAAATCCACATTTGTATTTTATGTGTTTTTCCATTTAAGTCCAGAATGCTTCATGAAGCTATAAGGACTAGAACTAGCTCTGCCTGGTGGATGACCTGTGGTCTAAGAGCCTAGAAGATGTCTGCTTTTATTAACTATGCAATTTAAACAGTTTCATGAAGATTTCTTTGCTGGGAGGATTTTTATAGGCCTGCTGCCTAAAGAAGACACCCACAGTGACTAGAATAGTTTCAGCATTGATGGGGTGTTTCAATAATTTAAGTACCACCTCTGTCCACAGCTGATCAGGGTGAGATCTGTGCAGATTTGATCAAAAAGAACCATTTTTCTGCTAAAGTGCTGCAAATCTCATGGCCTGATGATTAAAGAATTATGAATCCCCAGCTGTGTCATACCAGCAGAGCACAAGGATCATTATTGTTTTCAGACTGTGCTGCTGCTTCTTTCTGGATCTTTTTGTACTTTGTTGAGTGGAACTTCCCAAAAACTGCATGTGTTGTTTCTTCTCAGTCCAGAGAGCCTGCACCAACTGGTTTCATATCAGTGTTTATATAATGTTCTTCATGCAATCCTAATACATCTGTTTGGGATTCACATGTTATTAGCTGTTGCTTTATGAAAGGAAATGTGAAATATAACATGAATGGCATTAACGTGCGGGTTTTGTGACATCGGAGAGACTTCTCAGTAATCTTTAAAGAAAGAAAATTCAGTTGTTGTAAATCGTCGTCGTCGTCTTCCTCCGCTTATCCGGGTCCGGATCGCGGGGGCAGCATCCCAACTAGGGAGCTCCAGGCCGTCCTCTCCCCGGCCTTGTCCACCAGCTCCTCCGGCAGGACCCCAAGGCATTCCCGGACCAGATTGGAGATGTAACCTCTCCAACGTGTCCTGGGTCGACCCGGGGGCCTTCTGCCGGCAGGACATGCCCGAAACACCTCCCCGGGGAGGCGTCCAGGAGGCATCCTGACCAGATGCCCAAACCACCTCAACTGGCTCCTTTCGATCCGGAGGAGCAGCGGTTCTACTCCGAGTCCCTCCCGAATGTCCGAGCTCCTCACCCTATCTCTAAGGCTGAGCCCGGCCACCCTACGGAGGAAACTCATTTCGGCCGCTTGTATCCGCGATCTCGTTCTTTCGGTCATTACCCAAAGCTCATGACCATAGGTGAGGATTGGGACGTAGATCGACCGGTAAATCGAGAGCCTGGCTTTCTGGCTCAGCTCCCTCTTCCCCACGACAGATCGGCTCAGCGTCCGCATCACTGCAGACGCCGAACCAATGTTGTAAATGAAGGGAAAAATTAAAATAGCAATATTAAGAAATATTAGCAGCATTAGTAAAATTGTTTTGAGTACTTTATGTATTGATGTCCACAAATATCTCATGACAATATTAAGTAACTTTCTCTTTGTTGATGCAATGTCTTGAATTTGCATCCAAAATAAACAGTTTTCCTCCTAGAAGAGTTTAAATTGTTTCTCAGTTTAACATTTACACTATCTGCAGCCTTTATCTGAGCTATCTAACATCTTTATTGTCAAGACCTCCAAAATGCATTTTTTAGGAGTGCAGCACTTCATCCTTGGGAATAAGGGATAAACTATCAACCATGTTTAACCACCCCTGTCCTGGAGGGGTCACATGATAGAGGAAGCAGTACAAAGCCATAAAAGTAAATGTAACAGTTTAAATGAAATGTAATTAGATTCATTATGGACATTTATTAGCATTTTCATGTTAGGAAAAAGATCAAACTCTCATGGAGAAAAGTATCAAATTTAAATATTGAACACAAACCCTGAGTCCTTCTTATATTCATAAAAAGTTACAACCACGTTCATGTGTGTGGTGAATAGAGTTCACATAAAACTGTGGCCATGTTTGGACATGGTGGAATTTCCTATAAGAAAAACAGATTATTGTTTATTTCAGCTTATCAGAGACAATCTTTATACCTAAATCCTTTCTTCTAATTGTTATCAGAATACATGGCCAGAAAACAGCGAATCTCCCCTTTAAGTTCGGTAATAAAGACAGTTGTATTATCTTTAGTCACAACAAAGAGCCAACTGTGACCCCAGGGCCACAGGCTGCAGACATCTGGTGGCTGATAGGCTTTTTCAGACCTGTGCCACACCTGGACCCAGCCTCCTCTGTTCACATCATTACGCAAAGTGCGCGTTAATGATCAACCGGGACCCACCTGTCTGCGAGAGGCAGCCGTGGTGCTGCTGGAGGAGCTGGTGCTGATCATCCTCCCCCCCTGACTCGCCTCCCTCCTCCACTTCTGGCTGCCAGCTTTCGGGTCGGACGGCAGCGGGTTGAGGAACAGGATTCTGGCGATCAGTCCGTACAGAACTGTGGCCAGCATGAGCGGAACCACGTAGAACACGGTGAAATCCGCGAAGTAAATGGGGAGGTAGTGACTCCTGGACACCTTGTAGGCGCAGGTGAGCATTACCACGTTGTCGTACACTAACTTTGTGGTGTCGGACAGAAAGAGCCACATGACGCAGTAGACCGAGGTGAGCGCCCACACCAGCATGATGATTTTCTTTGCTCTGGATAAAGTGCACAGGAACTGCGCCTTGATGGGGTGGCAGATGGCGATGTAGCGCTCCACGGTGAAGGCGGTGATGGAGCAGGAGGACGCGTTGATCCCCAGGTACTGGAAGTAGGTGATCCCAAGGCAGCCCGCGTAGCCGTACACCCACTGCCCGCGCAGGGCGTCCGTGATGTTGGGTAGCCCGGCGGCCGTCAGGACCATCAAGTCCGCCACCGCCAGGCTCACCAGATAACAGTTGGTGGGAGTCCGCATGTGCTTGGTGGTCAGGACCACCAGGATGACCATCATGTTCCCCACGATCCCCACCCCGCAGATGAGGGACACCAGGAATACGCTGACCACCTTGTACTCAACAGAGTAGTCCGTCCAAACACCCAGGGTCTGGTTCTCGCGCGCCGACGTGTCATTCTCCATGTTCATGTCATCTAAGGTCAGGTTTTCCATCACGGAGGGAAGCTGGAGCTCTGTGCACTTTAGAAAAAACACACTAAGCATTGAAAAAAAAACACGTATCTTTAGAAAACAGGCGCGCAAACTCCTTTAGCTTCTTTATCAAACATCTCATCCAGATCCACTACAGTCCACAAAAAGTGTCGTTTTGTCTCCATGAAGACATCCATGACAGACCCATCCAGCAGAAGAACTCCTGTCAGCAGCTGCAGGTTGAAGTTGTGCAGAGGGGGGAGAGCTCCTCTTCGTGCCCCTGTCTCTCTGGTGACTGAGAGCTTCCTGCAAAGCCGCTCTGCTCCTCAGACCCTGGCTGTGAAGTCACGATCTGACGCACTGGACCCGCCAACTTCTTCCTCTCAGACCACGGACTCCAACGCTTTTACGCACCAGGTGGCGAGGGAGATATTGATTTAGGCAGTTTTGGGTTTTTCAGATGACTGTTCCTTTTTTATTTTCAGTAGGCGTTTGCTCTTTTAGTGTTTTCTAAATGATGTATAGCTGTAATTGGTCTGTAATAATTCAAGTATACTGCACCTACAAACAGTACTGGAACATAAATGTGACATACATAAACCACCCACAGAATAAATATATTATACAAAAATTAACCAATCAGTGTCTTCTAAAAGAGTGATATATTGCCTGAAGAGATTTTCAGCTATTTGGCTATAAATAATCACATCTAACTCACCAGTTTTAGTTTCCTGAACATCCTCAGTTTGGATAAAAAGCTTTTACATCCTACAGGACTGATGAGCTGACAGCTAGTGTTGGTGTATGTTATCTTTTAGAAATTTTAACAACTAAATTACATTACAAAGGTTTACATCACCATCCATATTGTATTAAAGTGACAGTGTGTATTTTCCCTGGCGATAGGGGGCAGTAGATACCTAAATCATTGCAAGCAAGCAGTATTTTTGTGCTTGGATAAAACCGCACCAATGGATGGCCATTTGGGTCCAAAATCCATGGGAGTGCAACCTCCAGCAAAATAACAAGAACGTTGGATTCCCGTTCATCACTTGCAATAAGTGAAGAGGTAAATGTGTACAAGAACAACATTTATTAATGCTGAAATTTTTGCAACCATTTGTTACAAATAAGCAAATGCATTCTGTCCGCACAGGCTTTTGTAGAAGAAAACATGGCATCCAATATGGCGTCACCCAGAGGCTCAGACCCGCTCCCATGTATTTTAGACCTGCTTTATATGGTTATATGTTATTAAACCGACAATATTTTTCAACAACTGGGTATCTTTTAATTGATTTACAACAACATCTCAATGGATATTTCCAGAGATTCATTGTAAAAAAAACTACACATTGTCACTTTAAATGGGATTTTACAAGAGAAGGCCCAAAGAAAAAAAATCCCCTGGTGATTGAAATCAACCAATATGATTGGCTTCTTGGTAATAAACAATTTGAAAACTAGGAATTAGACTTTTTTCTTTCCTGTTTCTGAAAATTAAATCAGCAACGGGTAATTTTACTTCCAGAATCAAAATTTTCTAGTAAATAATAGTTCACAGACACAACGGAAAATCGAAGTTTCAGAGTTGGTCAAGATTCAGAAATTGATGCATTTGCCGTTTGTTTGTTTTGTTGAGTATAGGTATTAAGGTCAGCAGCTGCCAAGTGTATGAGCAGGAATCAGGTTTGTTAAGGTTGTTTTTTTCTAATTTCTTCACAATTGATAGGAACTGGGTTTTTTTTTAAGCAGAAATATCGATAAGTTCCTTTTTGTCCTCAGATGGTGATCAATCCTATGATCTGGAAGTTCTTTCTCTAAACTGAGGCCATTCGAGAAGAGAATCAATATTTGTTATTTTCACACACACAACAATTTTAAAATTATCAAAAATAATTTAAATGTATTTAGCTTTTTATTAAAGAATTTCAATATGATGCAAACAGAAAAATTTGATTTGATTAAAAAGCTGCTCAATTCTGATTCAACAAAATTGTTTTTCACTCAAACCAATTTTCAAATTGATTTTCATTCATTTTAAATCCCTTTCAGCTGCAGAAACATTTTATTTTTTATTAACGCCTATTTATTTACGGTATTGAAGACATTTTCAAAGAATGAAACAACAGCAAATAATGTCCTTTTTCTAAATATTTATTTGTGTAATTAATATTTTCAGGTCAATTACATTTCCAGAGTGGCTGAGATCACATGGGTGTCACTGGCCCACCCAGCCTGGGTGAGCCATTGGACATTTGAAGTCACAAGCTGCTTATCCACTCAGCCATCATGTGAGACGTTTGATTCACATGAGTCGAGGTGCAGTAGGCACCACAAAAGCCTGGGGGCAGGCCTATCTTTCTTCATGGTCCCACTTTTACCACAAACTGTTTTTTCATTCCTCACTCATTTTCTCTTTCCAGATGTGCATAACTGAATTTAAGACATTTTTTTTCAGCTGTCGGAGGACTGCTGTGTCAACCCGAGGAGCCGACGCTTCCCGAGTTATGTTTAGTCTCACCTACACACAGGTTCACTGATCATAAGGTGGCAGTTTGCTTGTTTTCCTGTTCTAAAAAGAAACACGCAGCATGATCAGCACCCTCAGATCCCAGCTTGGTCAGATCTTGTAATGCTAAACAGGCTGCTGAATCTGAAGAAAGACAGAAAGTGACACAGCTGACAGGTTAACATGGACGTCAATGTAGGCATTAACCATAAAACACTGTCTTTATTATGTGGTTTTTCTCAGCATGTGTTCTGGTGTTTAATTTTAAGGTGTGAGTTTTTGTTCACTTTGCCATGTCTCAAGTGTACTGGGACATTGTGTTTTTGAATAGAATAAATGTTATTGATCCTACAGTGGAGAAATTCACTTCTTACAGCAGCACAAACACTTAAAAGAGTCATCTGAGAAAAAACAATAACAAAGGTTCGTGTACACACAGGCAGTTTATTATTGTAACCTTCAGCCACCAAAAATGGCTGATAATAATGAAAAATGTGGGTTCCAGAACTATGCAGCACGGTGTAAGGGGCACAGACATACTAAATAAATACGGTATTGCACAAGTATTGAACACATATTACATTGATGTTATTGTATACCAAGATAATGCCAGTAACAGTTAACCCTCTGGAGGCAGGCGTTGCTGATTTGCAACGTTAAAACCTACCTACCGGTTACTCCACATACGTATTTCATGAGCATTTTTTAACTCAGAAGTACCCCTGAAGGACTTAGTTGTTCTTCCTTTCATCAAACTTGTTTTGAGCCTGAGAGGGTTAAATTGAGGTGTGTAGGAGTTGAAATTTTTAGTGCTTTAAGAGCTTTATATATTACCTTTACTTATGACCAATAAGCTGTGATACTCTATATAAATATAGAATATCAACATGCTTGGTCTTTGGATGTTTAATCAGAAGATTCTAGGATTTGTTGTTTATTCAGGGATTGTAAACACTTCGTTTTGATTCAGGAAAGAGTCAGGTTTATAAAAGTAAGAATTTCTTATCCAAACAATTAAAACATGACAAGTTAACTAATATTTACTGTGATGGATGGATCTAGATGGAGGAGATGTGATGTATGGTGCCTATGTGTGAATATGTTATCAGAACTTTCGTATCGAGAAGAGCTGAGTTCTGGGTGTGAAAGGGAAAGAATTTGGTTTGTGTTAAGCTATGAGGTTGATTCTTATCAAAAAGGCGTCAGACGCTATCTGTGTGTCCACTTCACCCTTTCTTGGAGACCCTCTTCGTGGATCCGAAGGTCAGAGAGGTCAGATGACCTCTGGCACCGAGGACCGTAGAATACCCGTACCACCGACTCTCCAGTCCAGAGATGTTCCGGGTCACAACAGATGGAACCATTTGCGTCTCGGAGGACTCAAGGAGTCGGCACAATATCAGCTTTGTTCTGCAGGAACCGTTTGCTGTGTCAGCAGTAGGCTGTCATGTTGTGGGCAAGCTGTTTAACCCAGGACATGAAGAGCCCCACGAAAATACCAGGTAAGTAAAAATAATAAAATTATTTATTAAAAGAGGATAAGGGAAACTAGAGACAATGCTCCACAAAACAGGAACAGGAAGGAACAGGAATCTAAAACAAGAGAATAAACAATCATGAAATAAGTGCCAGAATCAGAGAATCAAGAGAATAGATCTCTTTTGGGGGAAATAGTTCTTACGGTCAAAGACCAGGTCTTAACGGTGGTGAACTGGGTGAAGTCCAGTAGAGGAGAGGCAACACGAACGATGATTGAGGCGGAGATGAATAGGAGATGGTTGTATGAGTCCAAGGTGTAGGTTGGCAGGCAGGCAGGCGATGGGGAGTGGAGGCCAGAGGAACCTGAACGGTAGGACGTTGAACACAACTCCAGGCGTGGTTAAAGATGCAAGGCGAGATAACTTGAGGCAAAAACACACAGGATTTCACAGGACAAGTTCGCAGGAATTCAGGAGATGTACTGGGCTGGAAGCTACCCTTGGTGAGAGTATCGACCGGCGCTGGAGTTGTGTCACACCACTCCTTAAATCCCCTGGCCCTCTGATTAGTGAGATCAGGATCAGCTGGAGCTCGTTTCCACACCCACCTGTAAACAGAAAACTGGAGGCTGCCCAGTCTCCTTAGAATGTTTAAGGCAGACTGTGACATAGGCAGCTGGTAGCAAGGTTTTGGCAGCTTGCCAAAATTGCACAGGGTTAAAGAGGGGTCGCTCCAGACGACCATTCCGAAGCATTCTCTAGAACCAATGCTGAGTGATGGAAAGCTGGAATGCGACTGCTGAATCACCAGAGTGATTCTGTTTAAATATCCTCATGATTTGTGTGGCCAATCGGAGCTTGGCATGTTAAGAGGTGCTAACCTCCAAACCTCAGACATCACGCCTTCTCAGATACGGGATGCTCTGACTTGTGGGTAAGAAAATATCTATGTGTCTGCAATTACATTGACCTTGCATCATGAGGAGATATGCAGTGTAGATAACGATTCACTTGTTAAATCCAACATTCCTGATCGTCATATATAAATCTTTCAATGTAATAATATATTTATTTCCCAGATTAATCAAAACATTTCATTTAGTTTTCATATAACATTTGTTCATCAACCAAATTTTTATTTAATGATTATTTAACTTATGAGTTGTAAAAGTTCATCTGGCTTGTGCTGTGAATAAAAAAACAGTCTTGGATAAGAGTGAGCCTGGAAGACCTTAAAGCAACAGTCTCTTATGTAGATTAAAGCTCCAGTTGGAGACTTATGTCTCCAAATGACTGCTACTGAAGAGGTGGCCTGTAGATTGAAAAACAGACCATTTCCGGAGGCTACAGGAGTTATACACTCTTACTGCAGAGGGGCTGAATGACCTATGGTAGCGTTCTCTTTTACATCTCAGATGTCTAAGTCTGCCTCTGATGGAGCTGCCCATGGTCTCCACAGTAGAACGCAGTGGTTGGTAGGGTTATTTTTGGATGTCATCTTCCTGTCACACATCTCCTCAACTGAATCCAGTGGGCAGCCCAGAACCGAGCTTTGTAAACTAGCTTGTTCAGTCTC